ATAAAATAAATTCATCAGGTATAAAAAGATGCAACACTTAGTGATAGTCAAGGTTACTAATAAGCTATCAGATCATATTAGGAAACAAATAAAAACTATAAATTGTAAAGATACAAGCAATGTGGTTATAGTCATAAGTGGGGAGAGATAGGTACTAGGAAGGAAGAGAAGAATAATAGTAGTAACACAGTCTTAGTAGGTAATATGACAGTGTTGTGGGAATTATTTCTAACAGTGAAGGCATTTGGGAAAAAGCTGCCCTTGTGTCCAGTTGGTCTGGTGTGCAGGGCTCTACAGCTTCGTTTTGAGGGTAGGAGTTGAAACAATTTATGTCCAGGATATGAGGGGTCTGTAGATATTTTCCCAGCTCTCTTTTTGACTGGCGCAGTATACCGTAGTTCTATTATCTGTTGAAGTCTATATTTCTCTTGTGCTCAGAAGACTTGAGAAATGGGAAGGAATGAGATCTTGGTCTTACATATATTTTGTGATGGGGATAGGAATAGGAATAGAATAGAAGCTGGAAGGGACCTTGGAGGTTTTCTAGTCTAGCCCCCTGCTCAAGCAGGAGAATCTATACCATTTCAGAGACTGGCTTTCCAATCTCTTAAAAACCTCCAGTGATGGAGCGCCCATGGTTTCTGGAGGCAACCTGTGGAACAAGAAGCCATTATCCTTAAATCATGGGCCCAGGGATGTCTGATGAAAACGGCGGTTCCATAATGCACAGCTCAGCTGAGCAATTGAAGTCCAGGGGGAGAGCGGCTGTGGTGTGTGTGTGTGTGTGTTATTTCTGCCCAAACCTCGGATAGGGGAGCCTAGCCCCCCCCTTTCATTGCATCGTCTCACCCCCCCTCAAAATAAATTTATTGCAAATCTTATAATATTCTGATTCATCTTTGTTCTTCTATTCCCACATCAATTTATCCATTTCAGCACAAATCAGAATTTTCCTAATCACTTCCTGTTCTTGTGGCATTTCCCATTTATGGATGGTTGGAACGAAAAAGCAACGACTTAAGATTTACAGAATGGAGATTAGAATTATATCTGAAATCATAACAGTGAAAATGCATAAGACAAGAACAAAGCGGAAATACGATATATCCTTATATTTGCAAATACTGAATAGACCAATTGTAAATAAGCAAGGTGGTTATAATATTTAACTTTATATTCTAGTATGGATGGCAAAGACATTGCCAGGACGGTTACACTGGGTCCAATGTTTTAATGTGTGTTCAATAAAAAACTTTTTATTTCAAAATAAATAAAATAACCCTCTTTATGTATCCCGAGGAGCCCAAGATGACTCCGGGGGTTGCAGGAGCGAGGCGAACGGCCTTTTTCCCGGTCTCTCTCTACCCACCTGGGATTACCCCGTGGCCTCCCATCCCCGCCGCGGCCTTCGAGTCCCCCCCCCCCTCTCCCTGGTCATCCTTTCTTTCAAGCTGCCGCGTGGCGTGAAGTCGGGGAAGCCCCCGATCGGGAAGAAGCCGCCCGCTCCGGGCTTTCCAGCTGCTAGGTAGACTGCGCCCGTCCAGGGAGGTTCTCTCTCTTGCCCCCGCTTCTCTCCCTCAGGCACTGCCACGTCCCCAGAGCCAACCAGCCGTAGGCGTGGCTTTGCTGCGGCCCCGCCCCTCCACCGCTCGAGCCAATAGCGGCGCGGCCTTCACGCATGCGCTCCGGCTCCGCCCCGCCGCCGCCCGGCAGCCGCAGACCCGCCGCCCGGCAGCAGCATCCGCAGCAGCAGCGAAGGCATCATGTGCGGTGAGTCTCCCGAGCATGTGCAGAGTGCCCTCCCTCCGCCAGACGGACGGCGGGGAGAGTCGGTCCCCGCCGGGGGGACCTCAGGCCCAGCGCGCCCTGGCTCCGGGGCATGTGCAGAATGCTGCCCTTCCGGATCACATAGAGGGCTGGAAGGTCGGGGGAACTCAACTCGGGGGGCGTCCACAAACACCCTACTGTCCCCGGCGGAAAGGGTGTCTTGGAACGTGGGAACCGTCCGACACGCGTGTCTGTGCGGCTCAGGCGGGCGGAAGGGCCCGATGATCTCTAGGTGTCCCCTTAGTGGCCCTGGAGGGTTGGCTGCGACCCGGACGGCGGCGGAGGTTCTCCCGCTTTAGCAGAGCGGCGGCCCTTTCGAAGCCTTGGGGACCCCTGACCCGGGGGTTTCCCAATGCACGTCTGGGTGCTCGGAAAGGAGGACCCGGGTTTGCTCTCCCTGCTGAGAGAAGGGGAAGCTCGTCGGCGGGGCCTTTGCAGGGGATCCCCGGGACCCTTCACCTGGGACGAGCCGCTCATGGGAACGGAGCCTGCATGCATTAAATACCCTATATCCTATATACATGTATGTGTGTATGTATTCTATATGATGCATGGTGTCCTTTCTCATCTCCCCCCTTGGTTGTGCTTTTAAAAAAAGCGCGGGAGACAACCCCCCCATCAGGCGAGGCAGGGGGAGAACCCTGGCTTCAGCCCCCCCTCCCCAACCCCCTTTCCCCCTCCTCTTCCCCTGGGTTGATTTTAGGGAGGTTTCCTTGCTTGAATGTGGAGCCCAGCGGCTGCAGGGTTAGTAAAGCCTCGTTCTGTAAGGGAGCTGGCGCCCCCGGGCTCCCTGTTAGAGATCACGGCAGGTGTGGAAGGAAGACCAGGGAGTGGGCTTGAGTGGCTGGGCTGCAGGTGTTGTGTGTGTGCATGCATGCATGCAGGACAAGGTGAGTGGCTGGGCTGCAGGTGTGCGGATGCATGTGGTGGAGGGGGCGGAAACAGGAATTGGGAAAAGAACCTTCCCATCTGCGCTCTGAAGTCCTCCTTGACTGGGTTCACACAACCCTTGCATGGGGTTGGGTCAGCAAGAGTTGGAAGTGGACCACTGTGTTGTGGGAAGCCAGCGATTGTCTCAGCATGTTGCACCTCAAGAGGTTGGCTTCTGGAGGTGTAATTTGTGCGATGAACATCCCCTTGTGTGTTTTTAGGCCATTGGTGAGGTGGGATAAGTGGAGGAAATGGGACCTTAAACCAGGGAAAGGGTAACAAACCAGGATGGATGTGCGTTATCTGGCTTTTGCTCAAGCTGTGTGGATTCTGAAAAGCCTCTAATGGAGTATTGTGTCTTCCCAAGCCAGGTGTGATACTGAGAGAGATAAATTAGGCAGGGCAAGTGCAAGATAAAAGGAACTTCAATGGGAACAATTAAAATAATATCTCTAAATAATTAACAATGGGAATACTTTCACATTAAACTAATTTAACAGACACTGCAGAAACCAACAATTGTAGACTGCACAGAGACGGGCAACATCTAAATGGAACACCCATCACAGAGAGTCATCTGCTTATGACCACAATCCAGCTCAACCTTTCCATTGCCAAGGGAGACGTTAAGTGAGTTTTGCACTCATTTCATGACCTTCCCCCTTGCAGTTCTTAAGTGAATCAGTGCACTTAAGTTAGGAGCAGGATTGCTAAGTGAATTCAGCTTCCCCATTGGCTGCTGGTGAGGAGATTGCAAAAAGTGATCACCTGAATAGAAAATGGAATAGAATAGAATGAGCTGGAAGGGACCTTGGAGGTCTTCTAGTCCAGCCCCCTGCGCAAGCAGGAGAACCTAGACCTTCGTGTGCCGACAGGTTGCCCTGACAGCTCCAGCATGCATGCACGTACTGGCCAGCTGATTTTGGCCTTTATTTTTGACTTTAATTTTAACCCAACATGCAAAAAGTTCGGGAACTGACATCCAGGTTGCCCGTAGACCCGTTTTTTGCCCTCCGGAGCATTCAGGGGAGCCCCCGGAGGGCTGTGGGGTGAGGTGGGGAGGCCATTTTTGCCCTCCCCAGGCTCCTAGAAAGCCTCTGGAGCCTGGCAAAGGCAAAAAACGGGTCCAAAGGCACCTATGCCATAGGTTCACCATCATGGGTGTAGTCCAGTGGTGGGTTACGGCCGGTACGCATGTGCCAGTGCCTGCCAGTATGGTGCTTCGGAGGTGTGAAGCCAGGGAAGCCTCTGATCAGGAAGAAGCAGCACGCTCCGGGCTTCCTGGTTGCGAGGTAGACTGCACCCGCCCAGGAGGTGCTTTCTCTCTCTCTCTCTCCCACCCCCTCCTCAGGCGCTGCCATGTGTCCAGAGCCAACCAGCCTCCGCCGCACGAGCCAATAGCGGTGCAGCCTTCACGCATGCACCCCGCTCCAGCTCCGCCCCTTCGGAGGGCCCACCCGCCTGCCGGGCCTCCTTACCTGTATTTGACCTAGCCAGCCCATTTGCTCATGCAGCGTACGACACCTGTGCAACGCTCCGCCGAGCAGCTGGAACGTCCCAGGGTGGTGGTGCGCATGCGTGCACAGCACAGGGGCACATGAAGGACACCTAGCCCTGTCGCAGCATACCGGTTGCGACGGGATCCGGAACCCACCACTGGTCTAGTGCAGTGGTTCCCAAAATGGGACCCTCACCCCAAAGGGGGGCAATTTGATTTTTAACGGGGGCAATTTGAACCTTCTTTAAACCAAATTAATGGCCTTCTAGGCTTCCTCCACGGGAGCAGAGGTCACTTTTTGAGTCAAGTGAGAATTATATGTCCCAGGGGGAGCATCAGGATTTTGGGGATGCTCTCTCTCTCTCAGCTGAACTGTACAGTATATATAGGGCAGTCCTCAACTTATGACCACAATGGATCCCCCAAATTTGCTAAGCAAGAGAGTTTAGTGAGTCTTGCCCCATTTTATGACCTTTCTTGCCACAGAAAATCAATTGTTAGTCATGTGGTCATTAAGTGAACCTTGCCTTCCTCACTGACTTTGCTGGTCACAGAAGGAGATTGCGAGACGCCCAGGGATACGGCAGCCGTCATAAATACAAGCCTGTCGCCAACCGGCTGGATTTTGATGACGTGACCACGGGGATGCTTGAACCGTCGTAAGTGTGAAAACTGTGGTCCTGCTCATTGCAGGGAGTCCTCAATTTACGACGGCAGTTGGACCAGTCTTTCCTTTGCCCAGTAAGCCATTGTCAAGTGAATTATGTCTCATTTCACAAACCTTTTTTTTGCCAAAGTTGTTACTCGGTCATTGGGTTGGGTGGGTGGGAAGGTTGCCGTGGCAATCCCAGGGATGCTGCACCATCATTGGGAATGTGTGCTGGTTGCCAGGAGTTCCAACTTTGATAGTGTGACCTTGTGGATGCTGCCACAATTGTTAAGTGTGAGGACCTGTTGTAAGTCACCTTTTCGGCCTCGTAACTTTCTACGCTTGTTAAATGAATGGTTGGAAGTTGAGGATTACCTGCCCAAAGCTCTTCGTTCAAAAAGCCCAGATTCACCCATCACTGAGCTATAAACCATGATTGCTTTCCAATGGCTGGTTTTACACGTCGCTAAGCCAGGTATGCTGAGTCCCTAAGATGGCAGCCCTGCTTCTCCCACCGGTACCCCCATTATGCAGGACTGGAAGCTGAGCCAAAACCAGCTTCTGTGTTTAATTGTGTTTGTTTTTCAATTCGTGTGTGTGTGACAGAGAGAGAGAGGGAGAGTGGGGTGGGGAGGGTTGAATTAGACCCTGATTTCCCAGGGCAACTCGTGAGAATGCTAACAATAGAAAAGGCAGTTGATGCTATAAATAATTCTCTATGAGTAGACTCATTGTGCCTTCAAATTCATTGTCAGGGATTGTAGCCTGTACTTTGTCTCCCAACGCAGCCTTTTAAATAGATTTGAATAATATTAAAGCAATTTGGATATTTTGGGCTAGACCGAAAATAGAACGATGGTGAGGTATTTAAAAAAAAACCCATGTGGATTTATTTTTATTGCTATTATTTTGCTTCTCTTGGGGCAGCAGCATGATGAACTTTGCTGAGTTCAGTGTAAGATGGGTGGCTGCATAAATGTTTTAGATAAATAATTACATTTTAAGTCCTGCTGCTACTGTCCAAATAGAGCTGGGTTGTGGGCTTTGTCTCCCCTAAACAGGAAGCCCAGCTGGCTGCTGCATTCCAGTAATGATACTGTCACTGAATAGGCTCTGGGTAGCATTTTCTAATGCTGAGAGTCACTTTATGAGATTAAGGTCTTAGCTTGTTTAAATGATTGAGAAGGGGGAATAAAAGCTTACACGGTCACTTCATGTGGCTGGTCAAAGCAACATTGCTGCTTTTCTTAGACTATGAAAGATGGAATGTTTGTGTCTGTGTGTGTGTGTGTGTGTGGTTATTCAACACTCCTGGGGGTGAAATAAGAGGGGGCAGAATTTGGGAGAAATTCCCTGCAGTGGCTCATCGATTAAGGGAAAGATGTCAGATCTAAAGGAACAACGGTTTTTCACCTTAGCAACACAATAAAAAGGAATGGTGAACTCCGCTTTGCAATAAGCAATTTAAGATGTTTTTTAAAACACATTCCAGAGTTGTGGGTGCTCCATTGTTGGCAGTCTTCAAGAAAAGATTGGAGGGGCCTTTGTCTGGGATGGAAGAAGGCTGTGAGGGCGAACCTATGGCCCTCTCTGTGGGCACACGCACCATCGCCAGCTGCTCTTCTGACTCCCAGTGTGCACATGTGTGTCGGTCAGCTGGTCAGCTTTGTGGGCACCAGAGTGCCAGAAAACGGCCTGAAAACTGGCCCAAAGACGGGCATGCGTGCGCTGGCCAGCTGGTCTTCGGCTTTCCAGTGCTCCAGCGTGCACGAAGACCAGCTGGTTGGCACGCATGCATGTGCTGGAAACCTGAAGGCCAGATGGCTGGTGCATGCATGCACACTAGTCAGCTGGTCTTTGCGTTTC